AAAACGTGAGTAACGTGTATATTAGAAAAGAGAATAAATCTTCAGCACGCAATTTTCAGTAACGGTTTTCTGCTGGTAACTTGTACAGATATAATACAAAGTGGTATGTTGCACCGTTGAAAGCGCAAAAATTATTGCTGCTTGTGATGCAAAGGAGCACGCGGCATTCCGCGTTTGTCATTGGTGGTTTGTTCGTTATGTCGTTCGAAGGATTTTCCACGGTAGAGTACCAGCAGTTATAATAACATTTTTAGCAAAAATACATTTGCTTCAAATTTTCTAGATTAAAATTTCTGTTTTAGCTTACGAGCATGTCAATTTCATACTTTACGGTGATCCGTTCCACCAAATGATTGTTGTCCTCCCTGTGAAATATGGCTAATTGTAAAATCATAGAACGCTTAGAACTTCACGATGCGAGTTGTGATATACTTGTAGCAAGTATAAATATAGTAATAAATATAGAATATAGTAATAAACATAGTAATATATAGTAATAAACATAGTAATATATAGTAATAAATATGGTAATACATAAGAGCAGTTGATCGTGTGTGTGAAGCTAGCATATCATTTCGTGAGCTTGTGATGCAAAGGAGCATGTGATATTACACGACCGTCATGGATCATTTTTCGTTCCGTTATTAGGAGGATTCACTACAGTAATGTCCCGCACTAATATAATATTTTTTTTATCAAATATTTAAATATTCCGAGAGGCGGAGTCCCTCTCCCGCCTACATAAATATTGTAAACAACTTTTTTCAATCAAAAAATAACAAATTATTATACTAATTCATAATTTTTTTGGATCTAATTAAAAATAGCTCCTCATGATGTTCACCAAACACACACATCATTACGTTTCGATAATTATAATCGTATAGCAATGTGTCTTAAATTATTCTCTTGTAACTTTAACACATTCGCAATATTTGAGCACCGCGAGAAAAACAAGCGTAACGTATCGCGTCTCGAATAGGAATGAAGAGACATCAAGAATATGCGAATGCGACTTTGCAACTGCGCCTGCGTCGATAGAATACGCGTCAAGGGATGAAACATCAAATACATACAGTCAGGGAAATGATATTTAATCGGTTTATTGTGCCGGAGAGATTAATAACATTTCGTCCAACGTTCTATTGTAGATATAGACGGTAGAGCTATATAAGATATAAGATAATACTATAATTTGCACCTATATTATTATAAGAATTTGCACGATATCGGCACATTATTTCGAATTCGCGAAAATGCGGAATTGTAATATGCAATCGAAATGCCGAATCTAAAAGGTGACTGGAGGAATGAGGTTCAGCACAAACGTGTCACAACATTTGAACCGAAATGGCAGGATTGCATGGCGAATAGTTACTACACGATAAATAGAATTCTGTTACTATGTGTTGGTTTGTGGCCGTATCAAAACTCTAGTTTCAGGCATATTGTAATAGCATTTACGACCGTAATACTTATGTCGAGCGTAGTAGTTCAGGTATGACAATATCTTTTCTCTTATAGCTAATATGTATATCCGATTAATTAATTTTCTTTGTGGACAATATTTAATATAAAAATTAGAAACGGAGTATGTATATGTTATAAAGCGGAATATATTACTATTCTTATCTTATAAAATGTGCATGACACATTTCTCTTGTAATCGTTACAATAACATATATACAAAGTTTTTTTAATAAAAAAAACAAAATTTTAACAATTAAAGTTTTTGTATTTTGTATTTGTATTTGTTTATATATTCTTGGAAATTATCTCGGCGAGAAAAATTATCGATAACTTTAATGTAAAAGTAAAAATAGCTGGAGAGAAATATCACTTTCAGCTTACAATTTTCATCACAACAGAGTATAACTTGGATCTTCTTCTACAAGTTCTCGCATACAGCATCCCATGGTTAGGTTATATGTTAAAGTATAATATTCTTTGCTTAAATATAAAGAAGGTAGATATATTCGCGATATCAAACGCATTCTTTCTCGATAAAAGTTGATGAATAATCGTCGTTGAACTTAGATGCGAAGCCTTATGAAACAAATGCGGCGTGACTGGAATGCATTAAGCAACGCGCAGGAAATCGAAATAATAAAAAAATACTGGGCTATCGGAAGATTTATCACATTGATTACGACATGTAAGCAGCATCTCGAATAATTTTTTCGCGCGGTATATTCGATAACGATTCTTCAACCATTGCAGTGTTTATTTATCTATCTATATTCGGTTTCATTCTGGTGCAGTTTTTATCCAATTTTCTTCTGGACATAGCAACGACTGCAAATCAATCTCGCTCACGACGGTTACCCGTCAAGGTTGAATATTTTATGGACCAACAAAAATATTTTACCCCGCTTTTATTACACATATTTCTGATCGTTTTGTGTGGACTAACCACAGTGGTAGCGACCGAGACGCTTAGTATGTCGTACATGCAACATGCATGTGGATTGTTCCAAATAGCCAAGTAAAGCAACGTTTCAGAGTTTAAAAAACGAAACAATTGATATTAATAGAGTCTGCAAACTTACACATTTGATTTGTTATCAATTTTAGTTATCGCATAGAACAGGCGCTGCATGAGAACACGATACAAAATGTTACATCCTCTGCCGAAAGAAGTTTAATCGTATGCGAAAAAATAATCAGTGCGGTCGATATGTACAGGAGAGCAACCAAGTACGTAATTAATAATTAATTTTTGATTGAAATCTTCTTTTCTTGCAAAGTGCGATTTTTGCTCGAATTCTTCAATTATTTCCCATAAAATTACATATAAACTACAAAATTCTATGCGAGAAATCGTACGAATCGTCAATAAATGTAATTGACAACATTAGATATATATATGTGTGTGTATTTGCATTTATATTTATTTATTATGCACCGTGTTATCCAAGGTTTGTAGAAATGTTGAGGGCAAGTTTCAAATGGGCGTATAGCTTATTGTTACCGTTAGGAGTTTTGTCACTAAGTATTAATCTTTATCGTGTGAGTAATCATTGATATATATTTATCGATAATGAAGCTGAATAATTAATGTATTATTTTTTGATCAAATGTGTCGAAACACAGCATCTGCATTATCCGTAACACGTAAAACATATTTATTCCTCGCGAAAGCAACATATTATTATTTGTGTCTCTCACAGCTTTCTCAGCTAATAATGACCAAGGAATATTACGAACTGATCGTTAGCATTCTGTTCATCATTGGCCATTTTTGGTACATGTTTTTCTGCAACTATATAGGACAGGAAGTAATCGATCATAGCAGCCATATCTTTTACAGAACGTGAGTAACGTGTATATTAGAAAAGAGAATAAATCTTCGGCATGCAAAGTTTTCAGTTACGGTTTTCTGTTGATAACTTGTACAGATATAACACGAAGTGGTATATTGCACCATTGAAAGCGCAAAAATTATTGCTGCTTGTGATGCAAAGGGGCATGCGACATTCTTCGTTCGTCATTGGTGGTATGTTCATTCCGTCGTTCGAAGGATTCGCCACGGTAAAGCACCAGCACTTATAATAACCTTTTTGTCAAAAACACATTTGCTTTAAATTTTCTAGATTAAAATTTCTGTTTTAGCTTACGAGCATGTCAATTTCATACTTCACGGTGATCTTTTCCATCCATTAATCGTCGTTCTCCCCGTGAAATACGGTTAATCGTTAAGTCTGAACACTTAGAACTTCACGAGTTGTTGTGATATGTTTGTTGCAAGTATAAATATAGTAATAAAAATAGTAATGCACAAGAGCAATTGATCTAATAAACCGTTTGTAATTGTATAAAAAATGAAATACAAATGTTTTATTACCGGCATCATTTGTTAATTCTTCAGTTGATCTTCTTCCGCACAATAATTACTATCGGATTGTCAGTTATATTGGCAAGAACATTGCGAAATAATAAATCTTTTCATTGCTATTATTTCATTGAAAGTGACTAACGCGATGGTTTCACGCAGGCATAAAAAAATGAAGGCAGACGATCCCGTTGACAAAAAACGAATGTAAAGCGCCTGCGCCGGAAAAAAATAAAGAAAATTATGTATGTTATTACCCTTCCTTTCTCTCCCTTCCATCAAACACCTCCATCACCAGCGAGAATGTATTATTTATATATAATTCACGAAATCGCGTATGTTACTTTCTTCCGTTAGTCTATAATATAATGACGATAAAATCGTTTCGTTGATAAACTCTCGATAATTTCTGCGCTATTCTTCGCTATTTGAAGATTACATTTAATGCCGTCTATAATTCCCGGTTTCATAAAAAAGTACGTTACGATATAAAAGAGATTTTAGCGAGGACGAGAATCTCTCTGAAAAGTCCAGTCGACGGAACAGTATTTCGATTGTGTCGCGCAAACATGAACTTTGTTGGAAGTTCCTATTACAGAACTCATCGAATAATGTTAATGTGTCTTGGTCTATGGCCATATTATACACGATGTTCGAACTATGTTTGTTGCATACTTTTGTCTTTCTCTTTTTTATCTGGTATTATTTTTCAGGTTTGTCGTTTATGATCAATCATTAATAAATATTGATTCAGGCTGCTACGGTATCTGTTTAAAACTAGTTGCTTACTGTATTTATTTCTTAATATATTAATTTTTTTAATTGTTTAATGAATTTGTACGTTTTACATTATTAATATATCATTAATATATTATGTTATTTTCCAATTTATTTGGCAATTTATTTTTGGCATTTGATAAATTAATATTGTTAATTTTACGCGTAAACAGGATATACATTTTCATACAATACTTTTAATATTTATTCCCTTAATTTACACGACAATATTTCATAACTCAATGCTTAAATTAAACATTAATGTCACACTCACAAAAACATTACAATCTAATTTTTTTTTATTATGTAAATATTAGTGCAAATTCCATTAATGATCGGTAAAAAATTAATTTCAGCTGACAGCATTGATTACTAAGGAATACAGCATGGATACTTATTTAAACGTTTATTCATTTACTGGCCCAATATTAATTTATATAATTAAATATTATACTATATTTTTTAAAAGCAATAAAGTAAGTTTATAAACAACAAACTTAATTGCTAACAATGGTGATGATATGTTCTGTAAATTCAGATATAATTTTCCCTCAAATACAATTAAGATCATTGATATCTCATCTTAGACAAAAAATCTTATGGAACAAATACGATACGATTGGGATTCTTTAAAGGAGAAAGAAGAACTTAAAATTATGCACAAACGCGCTAACATCGGAAAACGTTTCACATTCATTATGATAAGTGAGTCATATTAGAGAATCAAGAATTGCGAATTAATTTATACGATTACGGAATTAGAACAAAATTAAATTAAATTTAAAAAAATGCCTGGATTGTTTTAGTATTGACGTACACAATGATATTTCTGTGCATGTTAACATTTTTTTGGCCAAACATTCTTGACATCATGATACCTTTGAACGAATCGCGCCAACCATGGAATTTTCCGGACACGATGGAATATTTTATCAATCAGAAGAAATACATTTATTTGTTAATAGTTTACGTGATTCTGATAGGCTTCATTGGTGCTACCATATTGATAGCTTTAGATACGCTCGCTATAATGTGTGTACAACATGCATGCGCAATGTTTCAGATCACCAGGTAACTGTGAATTCTTAAAAGTGGTAATAAATTTATCGCGTATCGAAATCAGGACATTGCATTTCTGAAAAGCAATATCTTGTTTTCGATGACATAATTGAATTCTTCCAGTTATCGAATTGAATGCATTGTAAATAAAAGCCAAATGAAATCATTAGCCATTTCAAAAAAGTCTGACACTTATAAAAGCATCGCAAAAGCTATCGATAGTCATCTAAGAGGCATCAAGTTCGTATTAAAATTTATAGATATTTTCTCTGAGACAATCAATTTTTTTAAATATGAAGAATTATTTCATAATAAAATACTATTTTGTATTCAAATTTACATTGATGCTGTTTCTATTAATTTGAAAGGAGAGCTTAAGATATATATATATATATAAGAAAAATTAAATATATGTCATTAAATATATTATTATTATATATCACTAAATAAGAAGAAATATATCTCGTATATTTTATGTTTCTATACTTCGTATAATATAATGCAAAAAGTGTTAATTTCTTCATGCGAATATTTCTTTATAAGTTAATAATCATTTTCTGAACATCAAGTTTTTAAATTACATTACAATTTGACTACTGTTCAAGATTCGTCGAATCTATGAAATCCATTTATGAAACTGTCCACTTGTTCATAATTCCTATAGGCGTGACAGTGTTAAGTATTAATTTGTATCTTGTAAGTCTTTAATACAAACAATTGTATCGTTAATATCATATGACAATTCTTAAAAGTTATAATCTCCGTAGCTTTGTGAATACATTATGGCAGATACTAGGGACTCTGGCATAATCATAACATTTGGGTTCATTATCTGTCATTTCTGCTACATGTTCCTCAACAATTACATTGGTCAACAAATAATAGACCACAGCAACAATGTATTTAAAAAAATGTAAGTGCTAAAAAAAAAGAAAGATATTTAAATATTTATCTAAAGTGTATCATACACACAATAGATTATACAATATGGATTAATCTAAGACATCTCATGCACAGATGCAGCACTCGATGGTACGCGACTCCACTATACACGCAAAAATGTCTTTTGCTCATGATGCATAGAAGTATGAAAAGTACCACATTGAGCATCCGTTGTGTATTTTTGCCATCTTTGGAAGGCTTTGCTACGGTAAAAGACGAGGAGATGCGTGAAGAATATAAAAGATCTGTATTTTTCTTTACAAGCCATACATATCTTTTTACAGCTCACCAACGCATCGCTATCGTATTGTATGGTAATCTATTCTAGACGCCACTCATAATTACAAAATAGACGCGTTAAGTAATCGACAAATATTTTTGTGGAGGAAACTGTTTTTGTGTTAAATAGAGAAACTCACATCTTTGAATCTTTAGGAACTTGTTATCCAACTGTATTCATATCGTTTCTATTCTAATAAGTTTTATTGAATTGAGAGAAACGAGTTATAATATTTCTTTAAATAATTAAAGTAAATAGCTTGAGTAGTTCATACGACTTGATTGATCTTATTCGATCGATACCAAAATCACGATTTATTTCGTAACACAAGATTTTATTACATAAAAAAAAGTCAGCTATTTAAAACGCTCACGAAAAAGATAAAACGTTACGTTTGGACACTAGCCTGTTATTTTAATCAAAGATTACGGTTTACGATTTAAAAGATACATTTCGAGAGCACGCGACGGACGATCAACCGTCTCGATCGCTTTAATCTGTGGAGAGGTTTTGTTGTAAATCGTGATTTCAGCTCTGACAAGAGCAGACACTTGAGTAGGCTCCTTCGACATTGCGTTGCCACGCTCTTATCTAAACTACAAACATAATGTCTCTATCCTACGAGAAGCTCCTAGCTAGAGGCACTATCGGCATTGCTTGCAAGTATGAAGAACGCGTGTATAACTCGTGCACAAATCTCCTCTGGTATGCCGGACAGAAATTAGCGCGTCTTGCATCATATTTCACTTGTCAGCTAATAGTACGACTATTTGTCTAATAGCATGTTCGATTCATTCACGATCCTAATCTGTTCGAGTGTTAATTAAACTCAATGAGCGCTTTATGAGAATTAAAATTTAAATATATAATTCATAAATATATAATTCGATCATCAAAGCTGTTTATTAATCGCTTTTCATATTTTATTTTACGATGTTTCTTTTTAGCTTTAATTAAACTTTAATTTACGTAGCATTAATTTGGAACAAGTTAGAAAATACATTATTCTTTATAATTTAAGAGATTATTTAATATATAATAGAAATAATTTGATATCAATTATTTGAGACCATAATACACAAGATGGAAAATGAAAGTAATAGAGTTATAAAAGATAGAAAATAAAAGTGATGCGCGAATCAAATTAAATTATTAAGTGAAGATCACTCAGAACTTATATTTAAATTCTTTAAAAACTCACGAAACTTATATATAAGGCAAATTAATATTGTTAATGGAATATTTCTTAATAAATGTAATATATTATGATCTAAATCTAAACCATACGGCATCGTCATTAGATATCCTAATTCCGAAATTAATTTCAAGCAGCATATTATATACTTAAATAATACTCTTATACACATTTGTTTATGTAGTTGTTTCAAAAATATTGATACCAAATTTTCATTTATTTTAATATAAGAATTTGTTGTGTTTAATGAAATAAAATTAAAACAGTAAAAGAAACGTAAGAATATAAAAGAAAACATGTGATATTAAATAAATATATAAAGAAGATTAAGAGTAATATATAAAGATATGTCTTTGATGACATTGTTACGATATGATTGAGATTACGAATAATAAACGAAAGATCGTCTTTCTTTCAACCTCCTCAGTCTCCCATTCGGGAGATCTACGATCTCTTAGTACATTTCTCTACTAGTCTTGTTAAATACGTTCTCTTTCGTCCAAAATCTCCTCCGTCTTATCCTTTGTGTAATAAATGTGCGGTAGCACTGTAAAGGATAGACTGTCGGACATGGATCGTGCATAATGTGTCAAGATTTCCTCAGTTTAGTGTTCGACAAGAATATTAAATAACGACATTCGGATCTCACAAAATGCAGTAAGATATATATAAAAAGTTTAAAATTATAGTATAATAACTTCAATTATATACACATATTGTATCATTACTTTAATTACATTTACAAATGGAACTTTTTAACTTTAATTACTCAAATTTCTCGCGATATTTTGATGACTCACCGTCATTTTTTTTTTAATATGTTAAATAAACAGAGAGGGAAAAAACCGAGACATCTCAAAAGAATTAATTCAAAATTCTGAGGGGATTCCATCCCCTTGTCAAAATATGGCGATGCAACTCTTGGTATTATCGCAAGTGCGCGCATAAAAAAAGCACTTTTTCTTCCCCGTGGCAGTTTTCCAAGATAAGCGAATCCCTTTCTAGGAAAATTCCTTTGTAACCTCGCATCGAGACAAGACCTAGACAGAGGGCGAACTATCGCGCAGGGTTCTAGCAAAAGTGGAGCGTGTATAAAGGCGTGTCGAAACTTGTTACTCGCGCCGGTGCTTCCGTGACTATCTGCTGAGCTGTAGTCAAGTTGCCTTTACAAGTGGCACAAAAGCACGCGAACGATTTTCCCGAGTTTATAACGTGTTTCGTCTAATATAGCCGCATAACCACGGCCGATGATTACATTTCGTTTTTTTTTTTTCCTTTTTCAAACAACTTATCTGTGAAAGAGAGACTAAAATATCATTAAAACTGAAAAAACAGTAACAAAATTATTAACAATGTCCGTCTTATATCGGTTAGATTCTCTATCTCTTGATAGAAATTAAGACCTCAAAAATATTACTATTCCATCAACTTAATATATTTTATATCGCCGAATCTATTCCAACGATTGTATAAAAAAAGTTTTCTAATCGACAAGCTTATAGATCGTTGGAAAACCATTGTAGAAAAGAATGGAGACTATATAATTGATTAATAAAAGTGTTATCTCTAAAATATAATCTATTGAAGTTTATATTTAAATCGGGCACGAACTTATGCAATCATCTGATAGATAATAGATGATGAATGAGCAGAAATTATGGCGCTTTGGAAATGTCTGGAGATCTCTTTGTTCGCTACGTTAACGTGTATCCTAGTCTGCGATGTAATTTCACTCTAAAGTCGTACAACTTTTGCGAGTGATGCGGTTGCAAGGCCAAACAGTGACCTGTGCTTAAGGTCGTGTTACATTTACGAGACCTTATGTTACCGAACTTATGTGGCTTGTTGCAGCACGTACGGACAGAATGAAGGTGCGGCGAAACTGCAGCCGGTTTAACTACTGTTGGCTTTATTTTCTCACTTTCTTCACTCTTCTTCTTAATTGCACATCCAACAGTATTCTCGAATCGTTATACTAGTTTCGCATTATTTCTATAAGATCATTTAGTCTTTATTACGCGAAAGAATAAAAATTGTTATTTTATTTTATAAATTTATATTTTTCCTATATCGAAGATTTCGCGAGAAATATTATTGCAAAACTCGATTTTCGCTTTTTCATGTATCTTTCTTTACCGTACTTTCTTGACCAACAAATGATCTTCATAAACTGTTATTTGCGCGATATTTAATCGTATTTTTCTCTAATTCAATTCTTTCTCGATTAATTTTTGATATTCGTTTAGAATATCGTGATTTTATCACATCGATTTTTTTCACGTGCAAATATTTAGAAACCTTTAGTACCTTAATCGACGTAACAGACAACGAGATAACTTTGCAATCTATATAAAAGTTATAAAGTTATAGTTATCAGAAAAATATGTTGTCGTAGACACAAAGTTTAAGAGAGTTTCGGTATTTTTAAAATATCTCCGGTTTCATTTTTCGTTTGTGCAACGATTTCAGATTACATCAACACCTGATTCACCCGTCTGTTCCAACCGTGACTCTATTATCCCTTTAAACAACCCTCTTCCAGCAATTGACTTTGCTTCTCACCATGCTTTTCGCTCGGTTTGCCTCGACCCATTTTCGTTCACGAGAGCCATACTCGAAAACGAGGATCGTAATCGTAATTACTTTGCTCTCCGAGTCGAGGATATCGTCTAACAGCCTTTTCGTCGAATGCATAGAATGCAATAATTGAGAAACACTTCTCCTTCCTAAAAATCGATACGATATCAGGAAATTACCGTGTGCATTACGATTTCATCGTGTGCCGAACCGACGATTGTCTTCTCGACATAGGAAGATAAACGAGCAGCGATTTACGAGGCCGTGATTACATTTCACACCGGAGTATCCGTACCTTATCGGCCGTTGTACGCAAAGAGATACGCAGGGTGATAGCGAGATCTCGTATAGAACTGACAACGCGTCTGCAAGGTAGCGCAAGGACGGGGTGAGTGAGATTATAAGAGGGTCCGGGATCTCCGACGTGCCGCTGAGCTAGTGGAAAATAGCGTGATGTCTAACAGAGAGCCCGGCTTCTTGTCCGACTTTATTTCAACCGACGACTCCACCTCCGGAATCGGTGAGATGGTGATCGGATCGGAGAGCCGTGAAATAACAGACCTGCGACGCGAAAGCGCTCTTTTTCGCAAATTTGCATCTATAGCCAACGCAATTTCCTCTACTCTAGTGCAACAAATAGAATATTTCTCCAATATTATATTGAATATAACGCCATAAATTACGAGGCAAATACGAAGAAATTATTATCTTCTGTATATTATGAGTTTTCTTAAACTCTCAAATTATTAGATAGCATTATTTTTAAGATTTTGATTCTAAAAAGTAATTGGTCAAGCATATACATTCCTAGACACTTTTTGTGAACATAAAATCTTTAGTGATTACCTGAATTTTAAATTACAATACATTCAATCTAAAGATATAAACTTTTACGAATTCATTATTGCATTCTGACAAAAAAATTCAACGAATAAATATTAGAATGAATAACATAGAGAGAAAGAGAGAGAACTGCAGTGGTGCTTGTTCAACACTGATTGCCGGCGGAGTTTTAGGATAATTCGGCACGCAATGTTTCGAACATCTGAATTGAAGCAGTAACAGTGTAGGTCATTGTAAGTAATCAAAGATTCGCGTGTGAAACACCGACGGTTCATCGGATTCGTACACTATGTTACGCATGTACACGAATCCAAGAGAGGTACAAGGTACAACTGCATTATATCGCGTGTACACGCGATTGCGAATATCAATGCAATCACATGAAACATATAACAGTTTCATTAAAACTTAATTTATTATCATTATTAATAATAACGTTGAGCCGAGCATGAGAGGAGATAGATGTTGCCGCAAACGGGAAGGGAAAGATAGTCGAAAAAAAGAAAACGATGAAGATAGAAAGGAAGGATAAGAAAGAAAAAAAAAGGAGATAAAAGGAGAAATCGCGATATTCGTGTAGATAACAGTAATCCGTTTAGATCTAAATTGCCATCGTGTCTTATATTTAAACGTATCAATTATTAAATAGATATATCAGCATCTCTCTTAATTTCCGTCTACATCTCTTTTGCAATATTTATGAAAGATGCTTGCAAAATTATCTAATTTCACATTTTAAAATTTTATCATCAAAAGCGGGTTCTGGATATACGTTATTCGAGCACCTGCTCCTTAACGAAGGGCAGTCTTAATAAGAATGCAGCGTCATCAAGTGCTAGGTAAGCAAGTCAATCAGCCACGCCTGATGAACCGGAAAGGATGTACAACACAACACGCAATAGCCAGTAACATCCTTTGAAGCTAACGACCTCATAAACCAAAGATCGGCCTGTTAATATATAAGCCATGCGCAAGTTCTTCTTTTTTTTTCCTTTTGTAAAAAAAATGCTAAGATATTTCTGTTGTGTGTGCGCGCACAAAGAAATTTAACGAACCATTCTCTTCTAACATCTAGTGTTTACCATTAATTTTCCAGTAAATATACTTCATTAATAAATTAATGTGTTTTTAAAATATTTGATATAATAATCGATATTCATCGCAATTTTTTTATAATGAAAATTGATGAAAATTACTATCATCTTAATTGAAAAACGCGCAATATGACTATTTTTATAAGAATAAACGCATATCTTATTGCAGTATTATTGACGCGATAATAAACTTGTCTTTATATTATAAAGATATTAAAAATTGTCTTAAAGAATTTTTAACTAATTTATTCGTTTATATATATTATTCTATTTCGTATGTGCATATTTATCTACTTTATATATACAATACTCGCGTACAAATATTTTCAAATATCACAGTAATTTCGATCGAAAATAATAAATTGCAAATCAAATAAAATTAATTATATAAATATGATAAATCAACTGATAAATAAACTGTTACTTTGGTCAATTATATAAACATAATATAATAAAGAAATTTTACAGAGAACATTTTAATAGAAAACCTATCTAAAGTGTAATTTAAAGTTGACAAGAAATATTTAATCCTGGAGTATAATTGACGCGTAAATGTATCGCTTACAAACTTTCCACGGTACTTCGTATCGCACCGTGCATCATAAATGTCAATTAGCGGCACAATACCTTGCAAACATGAGAACAACGCCAATTTACCTGCTTTCATACACCACACGTCATTATTTGTACGGTTTTGCGCCTGCATGTGAGTATTTTCAGATTCTCCTAATCATAGAGCAACTATTAAATGTTTAACGAATATGCAACTAAGTATCTCATGCGAAGAATTTATTTTATTTTGTTATTTTATTGCGTAACAGTACATGTATCCATGTAATTTTAAATTGAACATTAAAACGGTGTACAATGATATAATTTTGAATGCAAACTTACATATATACAACATAACGCGAGAGCGTTTTTCTTTGAAATTCTCATTCTACATCTAGATATGTTCGTTCATTTCGATCGACTTTGATTGCTAATGTCGATATTTACAAACCTAATTTTGAAGTTAATTCTGTATGATCACACTTGCATATTTGATTTACACCGACGGATTCCACGGAATCTCTACGAGTTGGAACGCCAATGTTCAGAAATGCCAGGCCTTTCATCTAACTAATAAGCGAAGAACATAGCTGAGAATATTGCGGAAATTATGCGGATGTCTAATTTTAAATGACGACGAGATGCTTTGACTGCAGGAAGCATTTAGGTAAGATATGGTTGCTCCATCTTTAACCGAGTTATTCTGACGTTTATACCGGATTTGCATATAGAATACGCGTGTGTTGTCCCCTTTATCTCTGCTATTTAAAATTTTTGTACAGTGTTGTAGAACGCGTTCATGGAATCCACATAACTGAGCTATCTAATTGTGCTTTTGTTAAAAAAGAAAGTATCTTCTATACAATCTTGAAAATTACATTTTCGAGCATTTTATTTCTTTTTTAATGCATTTTTAAATGCAAATTCGTAATTATTAAAAACCATTAATCAAATTCGAAAATAGCACATACGCTATCATTAAAAAATAATTTATTTTAACGTAAACTGAAAAAAAGAAAAGTTTTTTTCTTTTTTTGATATTACTATTTCACAAATGATTTAATTATACAAATAGTGCAATCTGTCGTATTTACATCACTTGGATGATGCAAATCGAGTTTCTGTACGACGAGTTGTCGCAACTGCAACTTGTTCGTTGAATACTTATATTTTATATCTTGTATATTCTTATTCAATTATTGCACATTTGTTTCATTTTATCTTATATCACCTTCCTTATAACTTTAAGATATCAAACTACCGTGCATCTTAGAGCTGCCTCGGTGGCGCTTTACTAATTTGTTTCTCTTCAATATTAGACGATTTTACATGAAAGAAGAAAATATTTTATTAATATTGAAACGAGAAACAATTATATGCACATTTTAAACGTTTATGATGCGATAAATATTTAAGAACATTTAGAAATTGCATTTGTAATTATGAATCTAAAAAAGAGGCATTAAAAAATATATGTACATATTATTTTACTCCGTTAACGCGGATGCGTCTGTAATATTATAATAATCGATTTTGTACGAGAAGATGAATGTGTGTGTGCGACGTGTAACAAGTTAAATTTTTCCATCCAATAAACGATCAGCATGTTATTAATTCGAACACTTTGCTCGTTTTGCATTGTTTCAGAACTCCGAAATATCGCTGTTTGAGACCAATATTCGTTTCATGGGAAGCCTGCTCGCCTGTTACGCTCTCACGGGGGATGTAATGTTCCGGGATAAAGCGGCGCAGCTCGGCGAACGGATGCTGCCTGCCTTCCAGACGGAAACCGGAATTCCTCATTCCCTCATCAACCTTCATACTGGGGTAAGCGCGGCTTTTCGTTACCATAATTCGCCAGTGCTCACGTCAACGTGTCAAGAGACGGGTTCGATGTACTTTGATATTAACTTCGTTTCGGAAAAATAAAAACTTAATCATTTGCTGTATTGAAGAATAAAACAAGAAAAATTACACGGATATATAACATGGATATGTACAGAGTGTATGAAAACTACCGATATCTGTTTTAATGTTATTAAAATTGATATTTAAAAAACAAACCGAAAGGAGAAATTTTATTCGCGAAATTGTTTTTATTATCATGCTATTTGATGTTGAAAGTTAAAAACGATGACAAAAAATAATCTACAAACTTCCACTGAAATAAAATTCTTGATTTGTTTATATAAAGCGAGCAACTAGATACATATATAAATATCGTGTGAGATTTTTACAAATTAAATTTAATACATTAATTTAACATTAATTTAAATTTCTAAGAAACAGTTAATTAATGATCTATATCACACATATTATTTCACATGTTTTCGTAACTTTTCTCGCTATAGTTCCCACTATGCGAATAATCCATTTGATCTGTTAGCTTATGAAACATGCGATGCAAAAGTAAAGTACAATTACCGCTCTTTTGCTTCCACGGTTATAATTTAAGAGAGATTAAGAAAGGATTATCCCAGGGCGTGGTATGTTTCCGTTTTTGCATGCCTCTTGTCAAGCATCATAAACGGCAACGATGTTGCACTTTAATTGAAACGATTCCATCAAGTCACGTCTGTCGAAATAGCGGCGCACGATTAATATGCAAATTCTTAATTGGATGGATAATGAGGCCGCAAGAGGTAGATAGATTCTTGACTTCCTCTATACTATACTCACGTTCGTATCAATAGATAAAAATTTTCCTTTTTTTCTTTTTTATTATTCAATCATTCGATGAAATAACGTCAAGGATTTATAAATTCTTTTGCTATCTCTATGTGCTATGTTATAGTTACTAAAAAAAATAAAGTAAAAAAAAATAATGTTCATTGACAGATACAATATCGGGCGATTTCAAAAAATATATTTACAATTAAAATGCAAAGAAGGGAAAAAATTATTATTGTGATACTTACACAAATTACTTCGCGCTCGCGATAGCTAAATAATGATCTCTATAACTATACGCATAATTAAAGGCAGTTTGCGAACATTGAATCTGGCATACAATCTTATCGAAGAAATTGGCGCAGTGCGAAAGTGCCGTTAACGGGAGAAAACGAGAAATGAGAGAGTCGGATTTAATTACATCGGTGCAACACGTGCTCCGATTGACCTTTGCTTGATAACCTCGTAATTCCTATTAGCGTTCTTAATGAACGCGATTAATTGGCGAGTTTTAACGTGTCCATTTCGGACGCCATAATTTTCTATTAATTTTGAATGGTGTGAGAGGAAAGAGGAAAGATAGAGAGAATTCTCAAAAATGAAACAATAACAAGACCGAAAAAAATGCCAAACAACATTTATAGCAGAAAAAAATTTATATTTAATAATACTAGACGATAAGAAATTTTTATTCGCTTCTTCCCTTTAATAAAAGAAAACATATACCACATCGAAGTCATAGCGCTCATCTATCTCATGCGATGAAATTATAGCGGACAGGTTAATTGACTGGCTTAAATTATAAAGCGATTATGTTTCTATAATACCTTCGCGATTCTCGTTACAATATTCGCGATATCCGATGAGTAGATCACCTATTTGTTTCTTTACACTTTCGGCGCTTTGCAAGAGGTGTTTGATTATATATCTAAAACCTCATCAAATTTTATTTAAATTTTATTTTACAAAATTTGTATATTATTCTTTTCTACATCTTAACTCTTTTCATAAAAAAATTAATATTTTTTTGCCTACTCTCATAAATTATATCGTTTTTATTACGTTTTATTTGCTTTCCATAAATTCGCCGCATAATTGTATGTGTATCATAAATATATTCCAGATTTCTCTAACACATGTTAGATTTATAAATTAAAAAGATCTTAATATGAAAAACAGAACTGGCACAAATATTAATATTTGTACCATTTTAACTTTATCTTTTTTCTACCAATTACAGCAGAACTGTTTTATTGCATTACTTTATAAGTAAATATTCTCAATTTAAGATATTTGCCCATATCTGATCTATTCCTTCATATTGCTTTAAACATCTTATATCTCGCTATATATTCGAGCTAAAAAGTTGCGCTTATTTTTCAGGCGAGCAAGAATTACGGTTGGGCGAGCAGTGGCTGCAGTATTTTATCCGAAATCGGAACGATGCATCTTGAGTTCACCTACTTGAGTGATATAACGAATAATCCAGTGTTTAAGAGCAAAGTCGAAAACGTGAGAAAGGTCCTGAAGAGTCTGGAGAAACCAAAGGGTTTATATCCGAATTATATTCATCCAAGAACAGGAAAATGGGGTCAACGTAAGTGGAATCTCACAGTAATCTATGTTAATTCCATACATTTCGATTAATATTTGCAATACATATAATACACGCGCGACTATAATTTGCTTAGCAAATTATTTGTATTTGCAATATTTGTAAATCATTCGATGCAAAGGAGAGTATTTTGAAAACATAGTATATCACAGAGATCTAATCGCATTATTGTCCTCGGCATCATTGTATTTACTTATGCGGAAATGTCTAATATAGCAGTAAATCGCGTTCCTACTTCCGTCTGTATGCATTCACATTTAAACATTGTATTTACTTATGCGGAAATGTCTAATATAGCAGTAAATCGCGTTCCTACTTGCGTCTGTATGCATTCACATTAAAAAAATAAAAAATAAAAAATAATACCGAACTTCCGTTTTCAATCGAACGATGCTGGACGGTTATAAATATACTCGGTGATTTATTACTATCATTTCGTATTTAATAAATCTTCAGGCGCGCGTAGAGCAGTACATCTTGCGCGAAATAGGTTTTTTAATCTGACGGCTATCAATTATATTGCGAGAAAATAGTTTCGTATAGTCGCGAGGTGGAAAATTCGCACACCTTCAGTCGCCTCTTTTTTCCTTTTTTTTTTTTTCGCCATTTCGCATCTCATAGCGTCGGCCCATGTCACTTCGCGAAAAGATATCCCGCCGCGGCGCCGTCATCGCCACATAGCCGATCTTGAATATCGCATTTATCATCCTCTGCCTCAGGTTCTAAATCCCCCGCGCCTGCATACTTTCTCATTGCACGTATGACGAGATCCTCGAGGATATATATCATCCAAGCCGTTCGGTATCTAGCCCCATCGCATATCCTTCCCACGTTTTTCACGGTTCTGCTCCAGTGAACATATCCATACAGTAAATACAGTGAGAAAAAAAATGGTTTGAATGAACATGAAATTAAGTGGCTTTGAGTAACAAAACATCTAAACAAATATATAATAGATTAAACAATTCAAATAATTAATGCGACAAATATTTTATTGATTTAATTATTACGATTCTATTGCAATTTCACCGATAAAATTTACCATATCAATACGTAATTGATGATAAACCGCGACGAGAAATGAATGATTTAATTTTGTTCATTGAATTATTAATTTTTTTAAGTGTATTCCACGAACATCTATTATTGATCATATTTTATTTTTATAAGATGTAACATTGTTTCCTTTTCGTAAATAAAAATTAGTGTTTTTTCGAAACATAGTTTGTCATCTCCAAATCATAATTCAGATCCGTTTAACAAAAACTTAATCTTACGGCGGTCGACTGACTTATGCATCATAGCGCATCCTAACGTATTCAACTCTCAAAGAATCAAAGATCAAAGAGATAAAGCTAAGCCATACTTCCTTTCGTCGAACGAACCGTAAGATAAAGCGGAAACCGTGTTCTTAGCTAGCCCAAGGCACCTTAGGAATTAGCCCGGCAGAAATCAAGGTCTGCCCTTTGTTTCTCCATCCTCAGATGTAGCCAAAGTAGTCCGGATAACAAGCCTCTCCTTTCCAAAGAGATTTTCCCAACATTCCTTTATCTCATAGCGATTACGGTTGTTGTCCATTTTAAAGCAGTATCTCTTTTAAAGCAGTCAAGTTAAAGCTATTTTATTTGACAAACGAATCATCCGCAAGTCTCTAATTTCATTTCGACATGAAAGAAATGGAAAACAAGTATAATTGGCGATGCACTAAAGACTTTTGCGAGTATAAAAGTAATATTATTATTTTATTATTTTTCTTCTAAAGACGGAAAGTTCTTTACTTTTAATTTCTTATAATATAAGAGCTATTGTAAACTGATTTTCATATAAAAAAATTTGAAAAATTTTGTACTACTAAAGAATGTATACATAAGAAAAAAGATACAGATCTCTGCTTGAAGATTTTCCAGAGAAATATGTCGCGAGCCCCCTTGGAATTCGCACGAAATTTACTATGACCGAAATATTTTCGTGAAAATTGCAGATCATATGTCGCTCGGTGGGCTCGGCGACAGTTTCTATGAGTATTTGCTAAAGGCCTGGATCCAGTCGAACAAGGAGGATGTCGAGGCACGCGAAATGTACGATCAGGCTATAGCAGCCATAACCGAGCATATGATCAAAACGTCCCCTGGGAAACTTGTATACGTGTCGGATTTAAAATACGACAGGCTTGAGCACAAGATGGGTCATTTGGCTTGCTTCGCCGGTAAGTTGTGTATAATATTGTATAAATTAATACAATTATTATTACCATTTTTACATTGTAATCATCGAGCTTGAATATGATATAAACGAATGCATTTACTCTTTAAATATATTCTGTTTCCATATATTAATCGATTACTATTCAAGTCTCGACATGAAATTGATAACAAAAATTATTTATTCGACTTTCGTCACAAAACAGAATTATTATTTTTTTTATATTAATATATAGAAGAAGCAAAAAAATCAACAAGAACTTAATAAAAACGATAATGTTATTGGTACACTTTGTAGGCGGTATGTTTGCTCTGGGCGCGAAAACTCAGGAAAACGAGTTATCTGATAAATACATGAATATCGCCGCCGGTCTGACCAACACGTGTCACGAGTCCTATGACAGGAGCGCTACGAAACTCGGCCCGGAAGCTTTCCACTTTATCGAAAACAATGAGGCGAGAAGCTTGAAGAATGGCGAGAAGTATTATATTCTGCGACCCGAGGCAAGTCGTTTATTCTCTCATTTAAGAATAAAATTATCACGAATTGATAAAGCATCGTAATCACAGTTATTATTCCTAGAAGAAACTTAAGAATTAACTTAAGAACTTATTTTCCTAAAAGAAATTGTTTTTATTCGCACTAAATTTGCACTAAAAGTCGTTTCACAACCGACGAAAACCGCTTTTAATCACGAAGAGAAATAATACTTTGACATATATAAGATTAACTTTATATTTATTCGCAAATTGTTCTAATTTGCTTATTTAATTATTTATTAATTAATTATGTACAAGAGTTTATAATAAATTATAAAATATGTGCTTAAAAAAATAAGTAGCCCCCTCCCCTGGTTTTTTATTTAAAAAAGTCAGTGTATATACTATATATACATACATAAAATTTATTAGACAATAAAATGAGATATTCTTTCGCAGACTTTCGAATCGTACTTTGTGATGTGGCGACTAACGAAAGATCCGAAATATCGCGAATGGGGTTGGGAGGCAGTTCAAGCACTGGAGAAACATTGCCGAGTCCCCGGAGGATTTACGGGACTTAACAATGTTTACATAGTCGACTCGGCGAAAGACGATGTTCAACAAAGTTATTTCTTCGCTGAGACATTGAAGGTAAGGGAGAAAGGAGAAGGAAGCATTGTTTCGATGATTTAGTTAACGCTACTTTTCATAAAAGCTGACTTAAATGTTACTTACACCTTCTCGGCAACGCGAGAATATTTCACAAATTTACATTTATAACAGTTTGACTGCTTGGCATCACTTTTCGTTTCTGTGCATATGTTGTCTTCGCGTGCTTGAAATTCTGAATAATATAACTCTATTATGCAGCTATAAAAAATTTTAAACGGATAGTAAATATAACTTTAATAAAGTTTTATACTCTTTCACTTTTTGTCTATCACTCTTTTATGCTTTCGTTTTTTTAACAACGAAAAACCAAATGCTATAATAAAAAATGCCCAATAATAAGTTGACTAATAATATTTTTTTCCATAATTGAATGACATCAAGATATTCCTTGAAATGCATTATTATTATTAGTAATTAATAAAACTCATCAAATTTTTATTTTGCTTCAATATTTCAATGATTTTTAAATTGTAGCATATAATCAATATAAATCTGATTGATTGACATTATATTATAGATTTTTTTTTATTTCTCTTGTCCAATCTATATATATTATTTATTATAAACTAGTATTTATATTATATAATAACACGATAAATATTTTTAATCAGAATATATTTAAGTAAAAAAATTAATTAAATAATAAATATATAATATTCAACAGAATAAGATTCCAATAAAGCATATTATTCAAAATTTAATCAAGTTATATCAGTATTGATTTAATCACACACAATATATAACGCAGAAAGGAAAGAACAAAAAAGTTAACGTAATATATGTATGTTACGAAAGCACTAAACATGTGAATATATAGTACATAAAAATATGTTCTTTTTTTTTTCCAGTATCTCTATTTACTATTTAGCGATGATGATCTCATAAGCTTAGACGATTGGGTATTCAACTCCGAGGCTCATGTGCTTCCTATCAAAGGCAATCCTCTATATCGTCCAGCTTCTGGTTTATAAACCGGACAAGTTCACGACAGTTTGAACGATACTGATTAATTTTTTCATTCAGCAGTGATGGAACCGACACATAATACGACGATACACAATGTATCAGAATTACATAGCAACCGAAAATATTTACTTTGATATTTACGAAGCGACTTTCTCGCCTTTGTTGTATATAATATTATGTAGATTGTGAGAGAAAATTTTGTATACCGCGACAAAACAAAAATACAACACTGCATCGATATTTATTTTATTTTCTTTTCTTTATTCGCGATATCTCAAAAAAATTGTTTATTTGATAAGTTTAATTACAAAATTCAAAACAATTATTTATCTAATTTCCGTATATGTCCTACTCTCCTATAACATGAATATCCGATTTTGATTATGTAATACATTTGAATCGCGGATTAATGAAGATGAAGGAGAATTAGTCTGTCCTTCAATTCAATAACGAGCGATAAACATACACACATACTTTAAATTAACATAATTATTTTAGGTAAACAAAAGAGAGAAAGTGTGTGTGTGAGAGAGGGAGAGAGAGAGAGAGAGAGAGATACAGAAAGCGCGAGGAGAATGAAAGTGAGAAGAAGAGAATACAAATGTTAACGAACGTTATTTAAGCCACACGTTTGTAAATAGCGAAAATAAAGCGAGTGAGAGTGAAAAGACGAACGAGAGAGCTATTAAAATAGGAGAAAATGTTGCGAGAGTATGAATGCTTCGCCAATTTCCTTTTTCAGTTGCAACGCAAAGCGGTCTCTATCAGCACTAAAATATGTATTTGAAACGTTGTAGCTATACGTTCGCAACATTTTTAACGTTTCTCTAAAGATCACGAAGAGAGTCGGTGCAGATTTAGCCGCGTTTCTTTCTTTTTCATCAATTGCTTTGAAAAAATATAATTCTGTCAGAAGCACACGAAGAAGCGTTACTAAGACTGCGAATTGTACCACAATATATGTTAGAAAAAGATTACAATGATATTAAAAATCAAATTGTTAATGTTTTTTCTAAAGTCAAAACTTTGATAAGTTTTGTTGCGTGCACGAATTTAATGGATTGTCAATTGTGATTGTTAATTGATACTATGTGTATTACAATAATGTTTTTATACAGCATTAAGTGAGGACGCGAGTTTCATATCGACGATGCCAAACATCGATAAACTTGTTTTGTAACGCTAAAAAATCAAGAATAGAACTGTCAATCAATCAAAAAAAAAAGATGGAAAAAGAAAAAAAGAAAAAGTGATAAACATATTTAGCCAAAAAATCGTTATAGTATCATTTTTTTAAATGTCCTATGCAACATTTTATAACGCTAACATTTCACACGCATCTCTTTTCTCGATTTTTATCGACGTTCTTCAAAAAGATTTTGACTATTCAGCAATTTTGCTATCCCCCGATTCTATCTCCCTCAACCCCTTTTTTAACAAAGAAAAAATGAAAAGTACATAAAACCAACTGTCAGTCTCACGATTGTGGTTCGAGCGTGCGTGCTTTTTGTATGGCGAATAAATCGAAATAAAATGATATAAAGAGGAAGCCCGCGGGAGAGAATGCAGATTGACTACAATCGTACATTCGCAGCGAACTATGGCGATCATTATTGTGAGTCAGTCGAATGTTGTAGTTGTAAAGCAATGTAGCAGCCGATTAACTAGCAAAGTCTATAATGAGAGAGAGTAGATATGTATATAAAGATTACAAGAAAGTCATATTCTGTACGAGGAGTGCAAAGTATAGAGTGGAATTTTAGAAGAAACACCATATAATTGTATAGCGCTTATACTGAACGATAAGATTGATTCGTCCAAATCGGATTCTGCAATATTCATCGAGAAACAATTAGAAGCAGTAGCATATATCCCAAACACACGCATTTTTGCAGTGTTCGGGATTGAAGTTACAGTTATAATTGCAGTTACACAGGAGATGACAACAATAATCATTTCATTTCTCAAATATTGGTCTTCGATAGGTTCTTGTTTTTTTTACAAATTCATCTCGCAAATAAGCTAGTTTTGTAAAACATCCTCCTTTAGTAAGTATAATTCTTGTGGTGTCTCTTTTATCGAGTTTACGAACAATCAGCGTCGCACTCGTCGGTGATGAGAACGACCGGAAAGTTACTTAATGTATACATAGTGCAGTTCTCACGCTACGTTTTTCGTTAAGATGTAGTTTCAAAGACGAGAGACTTCGAAACATCATCTTCAACAAACGCGCGAAATAGAAAAATATATACATAGAAAGATTTATAATTATGAGATTTATATATACGCGTACACGAGCGTGCACGTAAACATTCATTCTTATGTGTCCGAATGATAGCAAAATGATTGAATGCGCGATTATATATTAAATTTTAGCGCGTGATAGTTGATAATAACCGCATTATCGTTTTCATTTCACGTCACCGTCGGACCTCCAAGAGGCTCATGCGGTTCCATCATAACGCTTGTCAACACAATTTCGGCAAGCATTTAATATTAAGTATCTGGAAAAGAGTTGCACCAAGTTAGTCAATTACTTAATCAAAACAGTTAATCACTGTTGACTAAGTCATTTAATATTAAGTATCTGGAAAAGAGTTGCACCAAGTTAGTCAATGTTAATCACTGTTGACTAAGTATTCTCGGACTACATTATAGCTACAATTATATTATGTAGAGAGAAACAAAAAAACCGAAGTGTTAAACGACTTTTACCGTATTATGCACGCATAAAAATGTTACGTATAGAACAATATCTTTGTATATATTCTATGCGCAGACTATGATTCTTTGCGTATCTCGTAAATGAATTACGATCAGTTAACTATCGGTGCAGCTCGCTCAAGAGAAGTCATAAAACAATGTACAATGTCACATTCAATAAGATATCATAGATAAAATTCATTTTGTAACACAAGATGCATTTTATACCACAAAAAATAATCTTTCATCCGTATTGTTCATAACTAGAATAAAATATCAGAAATTAGTGACATTTTACGGTGAATTTTCCTTATCGCGCGACATTTATTCGCGATAAAATATACACGGATGCTGGCACTTGTAACATTCAATAGGCGACCGTCTCTCAATGCATTTCAATATCGTCCGATTAGGAAGACTCACCATCAAACCTCGTAAACTTCCAATTCTCATTAACAACACACACAAATACAGTAAGCTCTAGATCGTGTGTATGTAAGAATAGTGATAACAACATCGAGAATAATGGCGAGGAAATGGCAGTGTCCGGCGACGATGATGATAGTAATAACGATAGCCTATACATACATTGTGAATAGATATTTAATAATTTATTGTTAACTAGAGTATTTTACTTGGACTACTTCACTGAATGGGGTTTTGGGTACAATAATCTTTTCTTATATGGCAGATAATGGTGGCGCTTACACTTTGTTTATCTGAGTGAAAGGAATTGTAAAGGAGAGATAAAGAGAGAGGGAAAAAGAACAAAAACTAAACTTTAGCTTTACTCGCCTGGTCTTTATATGATGAGCAAAAGCTACACGCGTCACAGAAAAAAAAAATATATATATATATATATATATCGTTGGAGAAAAAATGTGTCACGAAGTTTTTGTGGAATGCGAACTATACTTGTAAATACAGTACACAATCTAGTAATAACGGGGTTTTACTTTAACAGCTTTACGTAATTATTACTTTGTCATGATCAGTGAAATAAATAAATATTGATAATATGTTACATTGCAAAACTCCCACTGTACAATTTCCACTCCAGAAATTTATCCTAATGTCGACAATCAATACTCACGATTTTCAATCGACGATAGAGATGTAAAATTTTTGTAAATTTATAATAGTATATCTATAATGATATAAAACCTTTATAAATTTAGATTGCGATACTTTCAAAACAAACAATTGTTACTTATAACAAAGATTATATCTCTATTATCGTCGATTGACGTTAATCGTTAGATTAAGGCTAATGTGTTGCATTAAGTATCATTTATCGATCGAGGTAAGCCATAATCCTTTAAGTAGATTACTCTCCTTTAATGAATCCTGATATGGATTGCCTATTAAGCTGATCCTTATTAAACAAATGATCAGTCAGAAAGCTTAAGATCGCGTCCATAAATATAG